CTTTGCATTCTGTGCATGCCTGGTATCCACAGAAGCCAAAAGAGTATGTCTGAACCCCTGGGATCGCAGTTACAGATGACTGTAACATGCCACGTGGGTGCGTGGAATCTAGCTTGGGTCCTCTGGAAGAGCACCAAGCCCTCTTAACCAACGAACCGTCTCCAGCCCCTTGTTTTCTGAATTTTCTCAGTGTATTTAGTCATTAAATGCTTTTGACATGGTAGAGACAAGTGCTGGCGTTGATAATGAACAAAATAGAAACGAGGTCTCTCTATAGAACTTAGAGTGTGCAAAGATGCTACATGACCAAGTTGGGTCCTATGTGAATAAAACTGGAAAGATGACTGTTGGCTGGAAGTAACATGCTGCTAGGATGCAGAGAGAATGAAAGGGGGTGGGAGGGATGAGATGCCTACAAACTGCGTAGAGTGGGAAGGTGACAAGAATGACTTTAGTCGAGGCTCTGAGTAAACCCCATGTGTAATAGGCACACGATGGAAGAAGAATTGGCCAACAAGTTAAGGAGAGACCCGAAAGAGAGAAGCCAGACAGAAGCCTCAGAAGTTGAAAACAAGCAGCAAAGACCTTAAAGGTCACATGCTCAGTGGGAAGACTAAGAGGCATCTGTTACATTTACCAACCCAGGAGCCACTGAGAATCTTAGTGAGGGAGGGGCCCTGAAGAGATGGAGGGCAAAATCTAGGGGAAAAAGAAATTCCAGAGTGGGTGGAAGGCAGGGAAAGCCATAAAACAAATGGAGACCAGCCCTTCAGGAAATTGGACAAGAGATCGTAGATGAAGGATATGGACCAGAAAGGGTTGGGTTCATTTCAGTTTCTTCATTTGTGTGTGTGTGTGTGTGTGTGTGCGCGTGCGTGCGTGCGTGCGTGCGTACTTGCATGCCACACAATGAATATAGATATGCATGAATCACAGAGCCCATGTGGAGGGCAGAGGACTGTCCTGCTTGATCCTTACCTTCTTCCTTGTTTGAGACAGGATCTCTCTATTTTGTCGCACCCTATACAAGGCTGTCCATCTGGCCCTTCTCCTTCAGGGACTGTGCCTTTCCTTTAGAGGTGGTGGTACAGACTTGTGTGCTACAGCATCCTGCTCTTACATGGACTCCGAAGATTCTAATTCTTCTCCTTATGTGTGCACAGCAGAGCCTTTACCCACTCCTGTTTTACTATTATAAAATGTTTTCAAACACGAAGGAAATTCGTAACATACCCACTTTACTATGGTGACATCATTCTGAGGTTTTGCTGAATTATTTTAAGATAAATGACACATATATAGTGTTTCTCTCTAAATACCTTAGTGTGCTTCCCTGAAACTCAGGCCTTTTTACTCTTAAAAAAATAGACAGTCAATCCCTCACAATCACTAAGTAACTGCTGAGGGCATACACAGAGGACCGCAGTTAGTTGCAGTTGGAGCCTGTCATGGAGGGAGTGTTTGGGTCTTAGTTCAGTTTCATGAAGGAATTTGTATTAATGTAAGCATTGTCTGGGTACTGCCAATGGTCATGGAATCCAGAACTAGGGGGAGATGAAGATGCCTGATTCTTCAAGGTAGATCCTGAGACACATGGAGGGGGGTGTTAGAATCTGAGCCTGCCCCTGTCCCCACTGGCTGCAGCTCTGGATGGGGACCTAGGAGTGTTTGAGCTTCAGCTAGTGCTGAAGCAAGGGCACCTCTTATGTACTTTGATGTATGAAGTGGGCAGTGGGACCAACTGGAGACTACCTGAAGATGGGCCAACAGGAAGTGGAGGTCAATCACTGTCTTTTATAGGACAAATTGTTTAGGAACAGGGTCTCTCTGTTCCATGCCATACTGTGACATGCTCTGCTTGGCATGAAACAGATACCCAGGAAACAGTTTTTATGAGTGACTATTGAGAGTGAAGGTGGGGATTAAGGTTTGGGAGAAATAAAAAAGATCCAGATTACAAATATTGCTGCACTACGTCATCCTCATAAATGCCCTATTGATAGGTCACTTTGTCCCCCTCTTTTCCAAATGGAGGGACACAGAAGAGTTGAGCAGTTTATTCCACAGGTATTGAATGAAGCCAGACCAAGCAGGTCCTAGCAGAGTGTGATTGGCTTGTGTACTGTCCCAGCAGGAACTGGGGCATTACTTTAGAATCTCTGGTCTGCGGGTTACCTCTAGAAATTGCTGTCCTTGCAAGAGGCTCTGTAGACCTGTACGCTGATGGTAAGAGTTTGTAAACAGAAGGACTGGAAAGATGGCTCAACAGTTAAGAGCACTTGTTCTTGCAGAGGAGTCAGGTTCTAGTCCCAGCACCCACATGGTGCCCCGCATCCATCATCAACTCTAGTTCCGAGGGATCCAACATATTTTCAGACCTCTGGGGGCACAGGCACACATGTGGTAGACATGGGCAAGATACTCAAATGCATAAGATAAGATAAGCCTATACATAATATTGTTGAAGAGAAAGAGTTCATGTGCAGAGTTGCCTGGGTCATCTGGGGAGGAGTCTAAGGGATGCCCTTGCTTCAGCACTGTGCAGTCATAGCACTGTCTCAGATCCCCGTCCCAAACTCCAGCCAGTGGGTAGAACGTTCTCTCCTTCAAAATTCCTGATCCATAGGTTCTTTCTAGACTAATAGTATCATGCAGTTTGGCAGCACTGATATGGAAAAGACAGGCTTTGATGTAATTTGTGGGCTTGTATGTTTATACACTCGAGAGTTTGAAGTTCATTTCATCTGTGTTCATCAAAGAGCCCCGTGGGGGAAGTAAGTACACCTGACACTCGTGGACAGAATGCATCCAAGTTGGTTGTTTCTGCCACACTATCAACTCTCGGAGGCAAGGAAGTTGTGGTGTGTAACCTGTGTGAGCATATTTCCAAAAACAAAAGCTTGTCAATTTCCTTAGCATCGGTCACTATGGGTGGTACCTCTGTGAGCCAGGCTCTCTGTGGCTGTGCAGAGATCTCCATCTTGGCATTCCTGTTGTGTGGTACTAGGGATAGAACCTTTGGCCGAATGCTTATGAGGTAATGTGCTTATCCCTGAACTCCAGCTTTAAGGATAGGAATGTGAGTGGAGGAGTTGATCATCCAGTGTCCATCCCTTGCAGGCCTCAAGGAAAAAAAAAAAATCCAGGTATGAGAAATAATGCTTGCCAGAGAGTGAATGAGCTCCAGAACAGATCCTAGGAGGAGCCTGTGAGAGGTTTGGAGCATGAGAAAGATTGGTGTCACATTACAGTTTCTTACCAAGGTTTTGAGTGACAGCTAACTCAACATCATTGATAATTGAGAAAGAGTGGGGTTCAGAACAGACTGGAGTGGGGTCTTTTGACATGCTCTCACTTGCCGTCCTCACAGCTGCATTCAAGGTGGGCGTTGGGGTATTCATTCTCTGGAAAATGAAGCTAAAATATAAAGAGATTGAGTTAACTCATCCCAAATCCCACAGCTGGTAAATGGCAACCCAGGGATGCGTGCTTCAGCATCCTGGCTCACAGCCTGTTCTCCTTGACCTCACTCACACACTACGAATGCCCTCAAGACCGCTCTTCCACCCACCCACCTTCCACCACCAGCAGACAGCACACTTTAATCCCTTAAATCTTGGTGGGAAATTTCCTTTTCAGCCAAGAACTATTCACCACCTGTTGTGCGTTGGCAAACCTCAAGGCCATTACAAGTTTGAAATTAAGCTCCACTCATCTGATTTCAAGTAACAAGCTGAGAAGAAACACAATAGGGAAAAATAAACGGAGCTCAAATAAATATATATCTCAGCCGTTACCTGTAAGGAAGGGGAAATCTGAAGCGTCTTGGAAATTTGTCAGAACTTTGCATAGCAAAACCCAGCTTCAGTGACAGATGCTGTTCAGCTCTAATGAACAAGGTCAAAAACCTTATTCTTCTTTAGCTAGTTATATATTCCCAGAGTTGATTATTAATAATATTTATCACTAAAAAATTCAATTAGAATGTTTTTGTTAAAGTTTTGTTGTGTCTTTAAAAAAAAAATCAAAACATTGTAACTTCTTTTAAAGACTCAAAATAGGGGTTGAGGAGGTGAGGTGACCCTGTGACTTGTTTTGCTAATGTAAGGATGAAGTTTGAATCCCCAGTGCCCATGTAAAAAGCCAAGCATGGATGCATGTACCCGTAACCCCAGCACTGAGGTACATGTATGCAACACACGTGCACATGTACCCAGGCACACACCCCAAAATAATCCAAAACACAACCCTTAACCGTTGGCAATCATCCTCCCAGGCATCTGGTGTAGGCACAATAGGCGTTTACAACATTGGATTTGTGATGTTGACACTATGCAGGAGGTTTAATCTGTGTCATGGGCATAAAAAGGCTCATGTAGACTCTTCCCCCATTTTAAAGGCCCCTGTGGTAGTTGATCAATGACTACTTCCAAGAGGAAGTAGCTCCCTCTTGTGGCTCATGGGCGTATGACCCAAGTCATGTGTTTTTGCAACCCTGGGACTGGATGGCACTCAGCACCTGGCCAAAGAAAGCTGACTTGCCTGTAGCTCAGGGCCCCTCTGTGCCCATTGAAATCTAGATGGAAAGCAGAATGCCTCGGCTTCCAGCACCAGACTCCCAGCATCCTCATCTTCACCCGCTGCCCCTCTACCCTCAAGGTCTCGGGCTAGTGGTGATCATCTCAGGATTCCTAGGGCAGCAGGAGGAGGATGGAGGTAGACGGTCCTTTATTTAAAGGAGATTTCCATTCTTGCCTTGAGCCACTGTATTCAATTTTGACATTATCGATCAGTTGGGCTGCTAGGAAGAGTATCTTTAGTGATAAATGAAATATTCTAATGTATATATCAAGAGGACACAGATCTGACGGGTGAGCAGCATAAAGCAGCTTAAATGTTTTCTGAAAATAAGACCTCAAGAACTGGACATTCCTACTGTATATAATAAGTGATACATCACATTTTGACAGCTACTTTTCTGTTCTTTCTCTTCTGTACAGTATATAGTGGAATGTCATGGGGTCACCCTTCTGCCTCAGTTCTTGGGAATGTACCGGCTTAATGTGGACGGAGTGGAAATATACGTGATTGTTACAAGGAACGTGTTCAGCCACCGTCTGTCTGTGTATAGGAAATACGACTTAAAGGTGAGGTTGACTCTGATAGTTCTCATTAAGTCTCGTATTCATTTGCTCAAGCCTGCTCATCGATGTTGTTTATGGTCGGGTGCTCCAAGAGCTTGACTCTAGCAGGCAGCTTCCAGCACCATAGGATTAAGCAGCACCATGCTATTACAAGTATATCAGCCGTGTAATCTTAGCCGTGTAGTAGGCTAAGTGCTGGGAATAGTTTATGAGTGAAACAGACCAGGGCCAGCAAGGTGGCCCAAGCACTTGCCCCCTAAGCCTGATAACCTGACTTCACCCTTCAGAATCCATGATAGAAAGAAAGAATTGGTTGCCAAAAGTTGACCTCTGTCTTCTACTTCATGTGCATAGAACACACACATACAATGATAAAAGAATACCAAACAAACCTTTAAGTAGGGATGATGACGATGATGATGATGATGGTGATGGTGGTGATGATCATGGTGATGATGATGATGGTGATGATGGTGATGATGATGGTGATGATGATGATGATGATGATGATGGTTGATGGGTAGAAATGAACAAGGGGAAGGTCATGCTATTTTTATTAACAATAAAGAAGTACTCTACTACTCAGCCACAGCCTCAGCCCTTTTTCTTCTTATTTTGAGACAAGGTCTCACTAAGTTGCCCAAGCTTGCATTATCCTGTAGTCAACACAGACCTTAAGTGATGACACCCTGCCTCAGCCTGCCTAGTGGCTGGCTGGGATCACGGGCCCGTTCCACCAGGCCTACCAAGGCATACATAAGTAGAGTGTTAGGTATGGTGCATCTGAAAGGGTGGCATTGGTCCCATCTCGAGAGAAATGACAAAGGGGACAGGAAAGGCCAAAGATACATGTCAAGGATTTAAAATGAGACCAGTGGAAAGTTCTGAATTCAGTGACGTGACCTGACTTTTAGACAGCTAACTATGACATGTTTGTATGCCCTAACCAAGAGGGGTCGCATTTTTATAAAGTTTTGTCGCTGTTTCATCTTGTGGATGGCTTCTGGGTTGTCTGTGCTCTAGCACTGTCCTGGGTACCTTGAGCAGTGACCACAGATACTGTATGGACCATGGGGCTAAAATACTTAAACTCTCTGACCCCTGAACAAGCTTATCTTCCTTTGATCTGTAGTACTTAGTTCTCAGGATTTTGGTTTTTTTGTTTGTTTGGTTGGTTGTTTTGTTTAATCTTAGAATTCATTCACATGCACAAAAGAGGACCCTAAACATTTCCTTCTGTTGTTTATGTCTGGATGTCTACAGTATTAGAAATGGATGCAGGGCTGGAGAGGTGGCTCTGTAGTTAAGAGTACTTGCTGCTCTTCTAGAGGACACAAGTTTAGTTCCCAGGATCAGGCAGTTCATAGCTACTTGTAACTCCACCTCCAGGGGGCCTGACACCCTCTTCTGGTCGCCCCCGTAAACCTTTACGTATAGATAGATAGGCTCCCTCGTATCCCCTTACATATAAATAAGAATGAATCTTTGCTTAAAAGAAATTTATGAGAAACATTAAATATTGCTATTAATAATTATTTGTAATTGTTTTAAATACTGATAAACTACTACGTTTTAATGAATTTTTATGACAACTGTTAGTGAGTCAAGCTTCGTGGCTTTACATTTTTTCCATTTATTTATTCGCCTCATATCCAGATCGCAGCACCCCCCTCCTCCCTCACACAGCCCCTCTTCCTGCCCTCATGTTTTTACATTTTGTTTTGATTAAATGTGTCCTTTGACTTTTGTGTATATATATGGTGCATTCCTCCCCCACGCCTCCTTCCCTCCCATTCCTCTCTTGACCCTTATTTCAGATCTCTATAATATCTGGATTAATTCGGAACAGTTGGAGTGTCCTATCCAATCCTGCTGTCAATACGTTGTGGTATTTGGATGAGTAGTTGGGAAAAAGTATCTGAGCCTACACAAATGTGTAATTGGAAAGGAAAGATGTGGAGTTTGGGGGGTGATTGTAGATATTCTTTAATAACACACCAAGATTTAATGTCAGGAATATCTCAGCTACCCTGAGGAATTTATACTCTGTTCATTAGTATCTATTGTCAGTTGCATGTGCTGGTCCGAGAGCTTTATAGTCACACCTGTCTCACTGGAGACATAGTAGTTCCTGAATTAACACAGTTTCTCCTAATGTTGACATTGAATTAGAAAGTATCAGAAGTCATGTGATCATCCCTACTGGTCATATTGAAAGCCTTCCCTGTATGGGAACCTGAGGCACATACAGTTTTCTGTAAGTCTGGTTTGATAGCCAGTTATCACTGACCTCAATTCCTGTCAGCCATGTTGGGAAATGACAGAACCCAGCTCCTCCAGGGCACAGCCATGCAGTTTCATTCACTGTCAAGAACTGTCAGTGTCTCAGGTCTGGGACAAGTGTGCTTCAATGCAGAGGAGGTCCTGTCTCAAAAACACCAAGCAAACAAGCAGCAGTTTTGACTTGCAGGCCCCTGAGAGCACTCAGGATTCAGAGCCACACTTGGAGAAAGGCTAAAGTAAAGGAAACTTGGCAGCCTTTGTGTCTGCTCTCTAACTCACACTCAGGCTGAACTTCCTGTGTAGGCCTCACCTGTTCCACATCCAGCTCACAAATCAAGCCGTTTTATTGCCTTGGAAGTGCCTCTGGGGAGTCCCAGCCACACCCTGTCTCTCATTTGGCACCTGCTCCTTCAAGCCGGCTGGAGCTACACTGCTCACAGGCTCTACTGGAAATTTCGGGGTTCTAGGTGGTGCTTTGAGTGTCCCACGCCAGAAAGCCAGTGTGGTCTCAGGAGCCTCATGAAGGTAGCGGCTGTGTACGGGACCTCTGAGCCTCAGTTTCCTGATCAGTGTATAACACGTGTATGCACACACACACAGGTTACAAAAGAAGAATTGTTTCCTCCTCTGCCCAACACCCTAGGCAGTGCTCAAGAATTACAGACACCTCTGGGGGGGGGGGGGGGGAGGGAGGGAGGGAGAACAAGAACGAGAACACACACACTGTTGTAAGGCAGTACACAGAGGAAAGACAGATGTTTGTAACCCATATTCAGGAACCCTAAATAGTGTCTTCCTTTGACCTTTTGACATTGTCTTACTGTGATATTAATACCCTGACAAAAGCAACTTAAGGCAAAGGGGGTTTACTGGTTCACAATTCCAGGTTACATGCAGGCCATTATTGTGGGAATGCCAAGGCAGCAGGCACCTGAAGTTACTAAACATTACATCACAGTCTAGGACAGATAATAATGGGTTTGTCCATGCACACTTCTGTATATGCACCCTGCAGGGTGCTATAGCATACTTTGAAACAATCCAGGATCCTCTCCCTTAGGAATAGTGCCACCCACGGTAGGAAGGTCTTCCAGCCTCAGTTAAGATAATCAAGATAATCTCCCACAGAGATACTCAGAGGCCAGTGTAATCTAGACAGTCCCTCATGAAGACTTTTTCCCCAGGTGCGTCTAGATTACGATAAATTGACAATATAAGAATAGCCATCATTGGTAGAACGTGGACCTGACCTGGTGGTGGTGGAGCACGCCTTTCATCCCAACTGTGCTGGAAGGACCCTCATTTAGCAACTCCACCTGCTACTTCTCTTGCTTGCTCCCCAAGAAACTTTGTTTTCTCTGGGCTACTCTCCAGGGGCTTGATGCCCACCAGTCCTGCATGCCAAGTACCAGGGAGTGGTGAACTGAGACTGGGGTATCTCAAGCTTGCTCTTGTCCCCACTGCCCACATCTGGACATACACACACACACACACACACACACCACCAGTTTCTGCATGTGCACATATCAATGGAGAGGTGGTTATGGGTAGGGTTTTCTCTTCTTTCCTTATCTAACCAACTGCTCTGTTCAAATCAAGTATGGGCTCCCTTCGTAATTGGCCACTTTAGTGATCCAGGATGAAAGTTGTGTGTTTGAGCAGTGGCCAAGTTAGCAAAACACTGCACTGTAGCAATTCAGGCATCTGGTGCTGGGGCAAAACAAGTCAGAAACTCTCTGATCCTTCTCCAGCCACTAGTCAGTAAACACAGACTCTGCCATGGGTGAGCCACAGATGGCTGAATTCACATATTTAGAGATCTAAAGTAAGACTCAACTTGTCTATGTCTTCCTTAGCTTTTCTTTATGAATTAAAATCCTCCACAAAAAGGAAGGCTTCTCTGCTTGAGCACCGCCTCCAAAGCCTCCTGGGGATTTCAGAGGTGACTTCCCCGCCTCCCATTAGGCATTTTGGCCAGCATGTCTCAGGCTGCTTTTGAAAGCCTGTGCAGTAGACTAGGTGCTTTGGAGATCAAGGGCTGTGTTTTCTTCCACTTTGTACCCTAGAGCTCAGCATAGGGCCTAGAACAAAAGAGGTGTAAGGAAGCGTGTGGCTTTGAAGGAATCTCAGAAAGTGCTCACAGGGGTTGTGCTCAGAGCTCAGTGGAGCTGTCCTTCAGTAACTCACTCTGGGGAGAAAACAGTGCATGGTACAGAAAAGGCTGTTGGAGGCAGAACGGTCCACATCTGGAGGTCAGATACGGGGAAAGGGCATCCTGTGCTTTTGTGGCCACAGCCATCTGATAGCCTCACCTCCCTTTTGCAGATAGTGAAACCTTTCATGTTTCGATCAGCGCATAGTAAATTTATTCTTCAAGTGATGGCAGGTTTTCTTACTTCCAAGCAGGTAGGTAAGAACCAGAGAATGACAGGTCGGGCAACAATGACAGGGACGTGGTTGGAGAAGAGTGGACAGTAGACAGGAGCACTTTCAGTGACAGCCACAGACCAGATGAGGGCTATTGGGACAGGGGGAGCATGCTGAGGCTGGACCTAGGGCAGAGCTGCCTTTATTTCTTCCCAGAACCACTTACACACTGTGTCCATGGGAAACCAAACATCCTTTGCAAGTCCATTCTTAACCATTTCTTTGTGTTTCAGGGCTCGACAGTGGCTAGAGAAGCTAGTGACAAAGAAAAGGTAAGCATGATGTCGCCCTCACTGTCCCAGGAGTGTGCCTGGCATGGTGTTTTTGTCCATTCTTCTCATAGCCTACTGCTGTGGTTCTTCCCATTGCCTTGCTGCGGCCACCAGCACAAGTAGCAGTCCCTGCAGCCTGGGGATGCATGCTCTCATCCCCTTCCTCAGTGCTTAGGTGATGCTACAGCTACTGGTTATTAGTTGTGTGTGTGGTTGACAGAAATGGGTCACATGCAGCCTGCTCTGCACAGACTGTAAACGTAGCTGGAGTGGAAACTCCAGCTCAGTGTGTGAGTCCTGGGTGTTGAGGAACTGAGGGCCCAAGCCCTCTTCACCTCAGTTAGACGCGTGACCCTGACTGTGTTCCTTGCCTCTTCTCTGTCCTTTTTATTGGCCATTACATACTGACTTGGGTGAGCATCCATTTTTTCAAGTATACAGTGGTGAGATGAGATTGGGGTTGGTTTTGCTTTTTAAAATCCGGGATGAAGAGACTGCATCTTTGTTATCTCCTGGCAGATTTGTAAAGCAGGTAATACTTGAATCTCGTTTGACTTCTTTTAACAGAATTACAGACTTGAAGGGTCAGGCTGTTGGAACTATTATGAAGAGGCCTTTTATTTAGTCTTAAAAAGTTACAGTATACAATGTTTCAGTATTGGTAACTAAGAAGTAAGAAGATACCAGCGGAGGTAGGATCAGTAAAACAGAAAGAGAAAATGGGTTTGCTGTTAGTGAGACCTTCCAAGGAACAGCTGTAAACTGGGCATGTGTATTTATGCTCTGAAAAATACATTGGATGCTGACAGGAAACAATTCATCATTAACAGCTAAGTTTATAGCTGGGATTATCTGAAGTCTTTTGGAGAGATCTAGGTTTTAAGTCAGTTTGGAGATTGTAATTAGCTTAAATTGGTAGATGGACCTAAAGAGTTGGAAGAGGCAGCGTTAAGATTAAGCAGTTACATGCTGGAAAGACTTTTGAACAAGCATCACAGGTTGGAGCAAGTGAGCAATTAGATACTGGCTGCCCTGATTTAGTCAAAGACTGGAGATACGACCTGGACTGGTAAATAAAAAACAAACAAAGCTGCCATTCTAGGTAAGAGAAGGAAAAAATGGTTCATATGTGATTCCTTTTCAAAATTAAAGTACTTCAGTTTTAAAAATAAAGAATTTGGAAAACAGTTTTCTACGTGTATATCTAAACTAGCCCAGATTGACACATGGTGAAAGGTCACCTGGGCTCATGCATATTTCCTGCATATCAGAAGGGTCTTTTCTCTGCTGTCCCACTTAAAGCTAGACTGGAGGACTTTTAAAATTTTTATTAAGTTCTTTTAGGATATCATTTTGTTTCAGTTTGAATTTTATGAATTTTTACTTTCAGAAGGTGTGTTGTGTATGTGTGTGTGTGCGCGCGCGCGCGCATGTTCATGATTGCATCTGTGTGTGCATGATTGCATCTCTGTGTGCGTGTGCGTGTGTTCATAGTTACTATCCCAGCTTCACTCAGCCTCACCTAGCAGGAATAATGCTGTTCAGTAGAAAATGGTATTAGAGCGTGAGGAACTCTGCGGTCTGACAGGGAACCAGTGAGTGCTTGAATATGTAGCTGAGGAACCCTAAGGGATCAGACAAGAAAATGTTCCCTGGAGGATGTGATTTGGGTGAAGATGGAAGGATCCAGAGGAAGAGTGGCAAGTCCTGCAGAGGCCACCGGGGCACTTAGTAGGTTAGCTAAAGGGACATAACAAGCTCCAGGAGGATTATAGGCTAGATGTGAGACCAGTGCAGTAGCCCTAAGGCGGGGCTTGGCTGGTGGACATGGCTGGCCACACCACAGAGAGATTTGGTGGCAAAAAAAATAATAGAGCAAATTCATTTATTTGTATAAAATGTGGGAGGCGGTCAGGACGGCGAGTGTCCTGAGAGTAGGCTGTGAAAGACTGCACTTCAGATCTGACCAGAGGATCTTTTAACTCCCTACAACACAGTAGCAGGCAAAGATTTTCAAATGTAAATGCCCTCAGGCATGTGAGGCTGACCAGGGGACCTGGTGAAGGAAGTATGGTCAGCACAGATGTGCCTAGAGTCACCCAAGAGAAAGGTGGTGGGTAGAAAAGAAGCATGTCTGTCACCAGGGAAGAGAGTCCTGCCCCCACCAGGCACAGCCAGATGAGCAGGAGCCTCAGTCATTCACTCAAGTACCTGTTAGCCGGCTGTGGTAAGCAGGCATTTTGCCAGGCTATAGAGGGTGTGCCCCACGAGAAGGTGGGTAGGAGCAGAAGCCAGATGGCAGTGGTGTTCGGTGGAAGAGAGCAGGAAGTAATGGCTGTCCCTTGTGTTTTTACTGTGCACAATTGAGCGTGTATTTTCACATTTCATCCAAGCTCCCTTGAAGATGCTGAGAACCAGCAACGATTGTTAACTTCTAGGTAGCTGAGTGAGCATTTCTTTCGAGGGCAACAACTTGAGCAAAGTATTTAACTTTTAGCACATGAGTTTTCAGAGGTTGTACATTATTGAGACTTTTAATATTATCCAGAGGAAGTATGTAATTATTTAAAGGGGCCACACATACACTCCCAAATCCTAGCCACACAGTGGCCCTGGAAAGAACACGTGGACAAGATAACATTTGTACTCCATGACAGTTGGTGGATTTCTTCACCACCACCACCCCGCTTCGGTCACCAAGTCCCTAGAGACCGTGTCAGGCATTGGTTTTGATATCTTCAGGCTCCAGCAATAACCAAACCCAAGAAAAACATTTGTAACTAACGGTTGATGGAGATGAGGTGTCTGTAAGGGAAAGCCTCTGGCCTCTGACATTTGGGAACTGTGATGCTGCCTTAGATACAGCACTGATGTACCTTAGGACCACACGCTTTCCAGAAGCCAGCGACAGCCACAGTTCCCCCGCCCTCCTCCCTAAAGCTCTTTAGCCCCTTTACTACTGTAAGGAGAAATAATCAGGATAGAGAATTTGGCTAAGCAGAAGTGCATTGCCTCAAGCCTCTGCATGGATGCTCTCTTACCTCTGCCATGGATAAATGGCCAGCATCCCTTGCGACATTCCTCCTGGTGGTGGCTTTAGAGAATGGGTGGAGCTTTGGAGTGTGGGGGGATCTGAGCCCAGGTGTGCACAGAGCTGAGACAAGCTGCTGTCCCTGAGCACTGTCACAGGCTGTTGGCAGGTTCTCTCTCACGGTCTTCCTCCCCCACCCCTCTTCAAGGGCCACCCCCCTCTCCCCAGCCCTAGCTCCTGAAAAGACCTAGAGGGCCTTGCCAGCAGAGTTCAGAGCTGTCTGACTGCACCCTCTTAACCTCTAGCCATAAACCTAGGCTTCTAGTTGGTGGCACAGCAGAAGCCTTCCCTTGCCCTGGGATGTATTTCTATCTAATGTCAATGTATTGGGATGCAGGAGACTTACCAAGCTGAACATGCATTTGGCCATATCCTCTTTGTGTTAAAGACAGTGCAGTGATTATTTCCTCAGAGCAGAGGTATTTCTGAAGTGGAAACTTAAGCGTTCTTTGGAAAGTTGGATGGTGTTTTGCTGGTGCAAACGCATGAAGGAGTGTTTTCCTAAAGTAGACACAGGAGACAGACTCAGGAAGAAACATTTCACTGAAGCAGACACAGAAGAGAGGATGTTCTGATAAAGCAAGCACGAGAAGGACACATAATGAAGGATTCTTTGCTAAAAACACACATGTATTGGTCCGCCATCCTTTGAGTAGTCGAACTGCATTCGTGGGGACTATAGAGAGAAATACACTAAAAAAACGTGTGGTGTGCTACAGTTTCTGGCTGATTGGCAGAGTGATGTCAGCTGATACAGACTCACATGCTGAGGGATGACACATGGTGAGGCTGGCCCGTCGAGGACACGTGATGTTTGGAGTGTAGATAGAACTCGACAGTGACAGGCTGGGCTTGCCTGTAGTCTTGTGGGCCTCTCATTTTCACTGATCTTCACTTTGCTGAGACAGGCACAACTGAGAACGTCTCCTGGTGTGCCTCCTGGCCTGGCTGTCTCTGCTAGGTCGTGTCACTGCTGCTGATTCCTGTTTGCTATCCCAACTCTACCAGACTGGACTGCCGGTGTATTCATGAAGTGTTTGCAAGTGGATCTGAGCTTCCGGTGCTGACTCCAGTGAACTAAACTGCTGACTTCCTAATACAGATAGGCAAGAAACTGCAGCACACCACCAGAAGGATTTTTGGGGTTTTTTTGGTGCCTTTCTCTCTATGGCATCCTGACAAATGAAGCCCATCTACTCAGTGTATCAGTGTAGGGTGGACCAATACATGTGTGGTGTCTTTAGCGAAATGTCCTTCAACACCTGATTGCTTTAGCAGACCATCCTTTCACCTGTGTCTGCTTCACCCAGACATTCCTTCCCGAGTCTGCCTTAGTCTTTCTCCTGTGTCCACTTCAGGAAAACACTCCTCCGTGTGTTTGTCCCAGCAAAACACCATGCATTACAGCTGACTTTCCAAAGAACTCTTAAGTTTCCATTTCAGTTTCACTCATGGGTTTGATACCTTGTCCAAGGCCATACAGTTAGGAATTGACAGTCAGAGAGTGAACCCCGGGGACTCCTAGGACCAGAGCTCACACATCTGATCTCTGTGAATCCTTCTCAGTGACTGGGATCCTACTCTGTCTTCTGTGTCTCTCTCTTCCTTCCTTCCTTCCTTCCTTCCTTCCTTCCTTCCTTCCTTCCTTCCTTCCTTCCTTCCTTCCCTTCCTTCCTTCCTTCCTTCCTTCCTTTCTTTCTTTCTTTCTTTCTTTCTTTCTTTCTTTCTTTCTTTCTTTCTTTCTTTCATATTCCAATGTCAGCCTTCCTCTTCTCTTCCCCCCTCACACAGCCCCTTCCCCTCCAATAAGGGGGAGGTCCCCCCCCTTGGTATCACCCCACCCTGGCACAAAGTCACTGAGGGACTAGGCACATCCTTCCCCACTGAAGCAAGACAAAGTGGCCCAGTT